CATTGAGATCATTCAATCTGCCAATAGTATAAAGTCCCCAGTCATATCTGTCTATCTAAATGAACGCGATGATCTGAAAAAGGGTTTGTATATGATTTATGAACAACTTCTGTAAATTGATTTTAATATGACAATGTTATCCATGAGGAGTCGGGGAGGTTGAACTACTCGGGGATCTTCAATTGAAAACCCTGCCTAACCCTACTAGATATAAGTTATTGTCCGCGGTGGCGGAAGAAAGGAAAACTTACCATACCCATTTTAATGCTTGAAATAATGGTTACATATATACAGGCCGTTTCTTTTATCATGTTGTGCCATTGCTATATTCTAAACCGTAACAGATACGAAGACGATTAAATGGGAAAAAAGGTAACTGTCATCAGGAACAATACAATGGTCGAAGAAAATTTACGGGAACTCTCGCCCTTCTCGAGTTATACGGGGAAAACCAAAAAGGGTGTTTTTCGTTTTTTGCGAATGGAATTGTTATTTCAGAGAATATTAAAATGGAAAAAGAAAATGTTATTGGATTCGAAGTGTACTATGACGATGTAATAACAAATATTCGATAAAACGTTTCGTGTCAACATGGNATTCAGAATTTTATTTGAAACCAAAATGATACATAGACTTAATTTTGATCAGTTATTTTTTTCTGGACCTCGTCAGAATTTTCCCACAGGATCTTGACCCCACCTAAAACTTCTTGCCTACCCCTGTGTTAAACTTATCGAAGCATTCCATATTCTCAATTGTATATACCGGAAGTGTATGAAATTTAATCACCTGCAGTGTTGTTGAAAACACTCATCGTACACTGAACGATGTTTTCTATTTCAAATCGAAAACACAGATATAAGCAACATTCAACAATTTTTTTAAATTATGTTGTTATGAAAAAAAGTTGGCAACACCAATATCAGCATTTCGATGGTCGGTATACACTTATCTTAAGTTGATATCATGGAGATGTTAATGTCACATGTGTTTGTTAGGATGTATTAATTATTTTTTTCCTCTCTATGAAAGTTTTTGTGATACAAATGTTAGTGGAGAGCCGAAAAAGGTTTCCTCAAAAAAAGTATTTAAAATAATCTGGATGGATAATAGTTTACGAAATCAGGAATGGCTCTTTTTTGATTGTAGTATAGAAATATTCGGCATAATATAGATTCTTGTGCGGTATTGATCCTAAAACGACAAAAAAATTGTGTCGCATTTTCTTCGTTTCATGATAGAACAATACAGCTTAAATGCATTGCGTGCCAATATTCTAATAACTTCGATGCACGGTTTTTCATCCATCTACAGTTCTACAGAACGTATGTGGCACGAACAGGCCGTTTCAGGCCATGAATCCATTGCGTATATGAACGTGATAGGATTTAAAATATAAAACTAGTTATGGTCACTTGAAAGAATAGGCTAGTTTCCTTTTTCGCTTAAATAGCAGCCGACCATATTAATCTAGCCGACCTTTAAATCGAGAGCGCTGAATGTGGTCGGTCGCTCTCGATATAAAGGAACTGTACAAAAAAAATCTGGGCTGGAAAACACGTAAACTTTTCCACCAACCTGATGTGTGAACTGAGGATCAGCAAAGTCTTACATTTTAAAGTGCGATTTCTAACATGCATCAGACGATACACAGTAAAAACTTTTAGCCCCAGAGCAGGGATTCGATCCGCATTCACAATAGCAGCGATTCTTATATTCTTAAGTGACTCATCAATCAGCCACCGTCTGACATATGTTGAATGGAACACTTTGAAATATCAAAGTATAGTCGAAGTAAACGATATTGTGCACTCTTAAAGTTGGCTGCACAACCAAAGGCCAAAAAAACAATACATAGAAATGAACCGGCAGCGAACTACTCCACGTGGACTATAGACTTGGCGGTTCGTATTGGATAATTTTTACTAACCGAGTTTTATGATTGGCTGAAGAGTAATAAAATTAAATTTGAAATCATGTTACGGTGACGAATAGAAATCAGGGAATGCGGGGATAATTATCGCCGTAGTGTTCAGTTTAGGAACTGATCGCGATTTGAGTGTTGAAATTCGATATTGGTGCAGTTATAATTACTTAAAATTTTTGTTATCTGTTTGAAATGTGGCGACCTTGGACAAGTACTAATAGTAATAACAAGTGTGATAGCAACGCACACTTTTTCCAGTGTAGTGATTCCAATAGCGATGGTGAACAATGCGAAAAACAGATATAAGTGAATAAGATTCGTATGCATTTGAATATTGAAACACAGATAGTATCTTTCAATGTATATAAGAATCTACATCTCAAGTTTNTGTACTTTAACTATATACTATATATGGGTTCTGAAATTACTGGAAAAGTTAAGAAGAAATTAATATTTAATAATGACTACCTGAAGAAAGTGAATAACGTCTGGCAGAGTAGCCTAATTTTTGTTATTTGAGCTTGTGCCAAATTTAAATATTTCTTCGATTGTAAGTTATAATCAATGAAACCACAATTTGTGAATCACTTCTGGAAAAAAACAAGAAGGTTTTTCTTTTAGTGTAATCAACCTAAAGACCCTAAAGAATTTCCGAAGAATTTGACCTTTTTGAAAATGGCAGATATCTGATGTCACAAGCACCGACTATTCTCGAGAGTGCTAGACTGTGACAAGACATACAAGATGCCTCTCAGTGAGCGTCTTTCATAATTTGTCAGCATAACAATGATGTTGGGAGCAATCCAGCTAAAATAATTGGAGTTCCGGTTATACCGGAAGTAGGTTGAAACTTCTTTATTCTGTGTATCATATTACCTACATATCTTACAGGATTTTAAAAATGTGAGACATAATGTAAAACCATCGAGTGTGCTTTAGACCACACGACAGAACACTCAAGAAATATGGAGGCAAACCGCGGACACGAATTTCCCCCTTTTGATGTATATCATACACACTCGAATACAGGGTGAAAATTTGAAAACTTACAACGGCTATACGTGAGCAACCAAATGAAAACAACTTCCATAATGAGGAGGGTGAAAGGAAATGATGTAATAGCTAGCTTATTTTCACTTATTTCCTCGCCCCAGCCACCCCAACTTTATATTCTTGAATGACAACTCCCTACTTGCGACACCTTATCTGAAAGATCTTAAGTAATTCTCTTCAATGGTAGCCTACAAAACTACATTCGATGTAGCAATGATTCATTAGTTCCACCACCTAGGCTTGGCAGCATCGGTATCAATCAAAAAATTTCACAAAGACCGTCTACAAGTGCACAAGCTACTAATAATCGTATCGTTTTTGCTCCGGAGACAGTAAGGCCATTACCAAAAACACCTCCCAGGTTTGAAGGGCGAAAAACTAGAAAATCAACTGTTCATACCGAAACACCAAAGAAAGAAGAGATATGAAAAAATCATGAAGCAAAATTAAAACGGAACAGAGCTAAACAAGTTGTCGCAGTTGCGACTCTCAACTCTCTGATTAATCTTTAAACCAAATGTTTTCTTTAAGTTTACTCTCAATGTTAAGTGTTATGTGTTCTCTTTAGTTTATTTTGAATGCTCATTTGATTAAAAAAAATATTTTAGAGTATTCAGAATGTTAATTTTATTAATTGACGTTGATTTGATTTTTGAAATGTTTTTCATTTAGTTTATTTCCAAAGTTTATTTGTTTTCAGAAATGTTTTCTTTAAGTTCATTCTCAAATTTTGTCAACAAAGTATTTATATTTGGTTTTATGTTCATTTATTATCCTTAAATGTTCTGCTTTCACCATGTCATTCTCGAATAGTATACGTTTCAAACGCATCCAGTCTTAAATTACACCTTTTTTGTGGCTGAAGTAGAAGTTTTTTCACCTTTTTTGGAATGGTATGGAGCATTCTCTAAAACAATCACACAATTCCCTTCTAGTTTCGGAAATATGTTCCTAAACCAATTCTTAAAAGATATGCCATCCATTTCCTTATGATAGTCGCCCGTTTTATTCGACTCGAAAGCCCACAAGGCGTCGGGGACAAAACCGGTTTCGCTTCCTATGTGACATCCTCAAAAGGGATTTATTTTGTTCCAGTTGAAACAGGAGAAATGTTTCTTTTCGTACGAATAACATCAGATAACAATAACAAGTTATTTTGTTCACAAACATTCGCGGTTTCTTGACAGTATAATGCGGTGATTTTTACCTGAAGGGTTTGCAAGCCAGTAGAGAGGCCATCTATAAAAACCTCTATTGAAAAAGTTATTGATTAATTAACCCAAATTTTGGACTGCGTTTATCCACGTTTCATCAAGGTAATAGATTTTTCTATTCTCTCATCTGTAGGCTCTTATTTTCATTTAATATTGTCGTCTCCACAATACTATTTCTGGTTTCTCGAGCAAAAAACTATTTGTCCTTCTTTTTTCAAATTCAAAACTCAATTTTGTATTAATTTGTGGAATGTCGACCTTTTGAAATTTGGTTGATCAGCATCATCGTTTACAATTTTTATAATTGAATCTATTTTTGGTATTTCGTTTCGACAAAAAAAAATATTTTTTTTCGGTTTTGGAATCAAAAATGAATGCTTTTGTTTATATTCTCTCGTTACTCCATAGACACTTGAGGAGACACTCCAGCAATGTTTTCTACTTTCATCAACGTACGCTAAAGGATTTGCTTCTATTTGAATTTTGTAAATGTTCATCATTACATTTACCTCATTAATATTGAGTTAATTTTTTTTCTTTATTCAAGTGGTGTGTAGGGACACAGATTAGCAGTTTCTTCAGCCGTATCAGTACTCGACATTTTAATAATTTTAGATTTCAAAATACCGTATATGTACACACCACAGGCGTTAAAACGTAACTGACCACTCCGACACTGTAACAATGAATTCCGCCAGCCGATTGCAATTGAATCTGATTGGCCAGCGTAAGGGACCTTCTTTATTTTACCCAATAGATGCAAATTTACATGGTGATCATACTTTGATCACACATCTATCGTTGTTTGGGTTACTTCGTTTGTTGGATAGCTATAGTTTACTTATAATCGGAACTTGTCCTTCAAGAACTTTACCATTATTATTATACCCCCAGTAAACGCAATGAGCCAACGATAACACATTTGTATTTGACTATCTAAGATGGCTGCTATTCTGTGACAGCCGGTATATTTTTCAGGTTAGGAATGGGGATGTGCTTCTTAGACCAACGACGAATCGAGAAATATTTTATACATTTTACAGAGTCTTGGGCTGTTGCGCAACACTGCAATGATTTGTTCAGGTTACACGTGTGAATAGATTTTATCTTTGTATTGAAGTTTTATATTTTCAGAACTACAGTTACCAGCGACACCAATCGGTTTCACATGGGTGGCAGAATATGTCCTCGTTGACACATTAGCTAGTTCATGAAGAAGGCTCCCATTGTTACCTGATGGGTATGATTTTGTGAATATAAGGTACGTAAATTTCAGCCTTTAGAAAGTCCTAGAACATTCCACAGCATTCTGGAACGTTGTGGAATGTTCGGAAATAGTCTGGAACGTTCGGGAAAATTCCGAAATATTCCAGATTGCTGTGGTACAATCAAGGAAGTTATATGTTTAGGTAGCCCTCTATCTCCCATCCATAAAAAAGATTCCAGTTTTCACCGGGCTAGAATATTAGAGAGCTTTCCACAATATCTCGGAAAATTTTGGAAAGTTCGGAGACAGTATGGAACATCTGCATTACCCTGGAATAACCCAGATCAATGTGAATAGGTAAGCACATATCTATCTACAGACAACACAAAACAAACATGCGACCTCAACCTTCAAAATGATACACTACGTAAAACAAAACTAGAGCAATTACAACCTCTCTTTATCAGACGTGTCGCATCATTTTTTCAGGCCGCTTGAATTTATTTTCTCGTGCGATAGTTTCAATTTTGCGATAACTCCTAAAATAATAATTTGAATTGTGTGGTGTGAAGGGCAATTCAATGTGCACGAATTACTTTAGGCAACTAACATATTTATTTAATAATCCGTCTAAATAGCTTTCCAATCACCACATTATATGTGCCCATTATTTTAAACATTAAGATAGGTATTGTAGAGGAAAGTCTCCTAATATGGGGTACTTTCTTTCAAAACACCATAATAAAAAAACGGAGGTAGTTTTAAGCATTATTTCCATGAATTTCACTAGTTCGGACTTCCATTGTCTACTATATAAAGTGATTTGAAATCCCTGAAACAACTAAAAAAGAAGAATTGAAAATGAGTAGCTGAAAATTATAATTATATTATCCAAAATGAACCTGAAATGAAATAATAGTGAAATAAAATACAAGTAAAAATAGAA